CCCGAGGCGAGGAAACGCTCCCATTGGCTCCTGGCGGAGGCGGGCTGTCAAACCTCCTCCCAGCTGTTCCAGTCTCAGCCAATCAGCGTGAAGCCGGCTGACAGGGGGCGGGCGGGATTTTCAAACTACTTTCCTTTGTTCTAACAGTATAAAAATGCCTGAAAATCCTTGTAATGCATGCTTACAGTGGAATGATTCCTGTAATGCATCCTTTTCAGCTGAATCGCAAATAAACCTCGATCGCTGGACTTCTTCCGCCTCTGATGAGCTTATTAATTTTTTTAAAATATTTCTGTGCTCTTGAATTGGCTTCCAGAAAGCTCACCAAGGTATCCAGGACTCTTTGGTACAGTCCTTGGGCTCTCCTCTCGGGAGGGACCCCCCAAAAGAGCTCGGTATCAATAATAATAAATAATAATAAAGGCGGAGAGGAGACAGGATGGGGGCCAGGGATAAATATGTGGGGGGAAGTCCTAGGGAGGAGGGGGGAGCAAGCTTCCTTTCTGCTGCCCTGGAGACTAGGACACAATGGAGCCATGGCTTCAAACTACAAGAAAGGAAGGAGATTCCATCTGAACATGAGGAAGAACCTCCCGACTGTGACACCTGTTCAGCAGTGGAACTCTCTGCCCCGTGGTGTGGTGGAGGGAGGCTCCTTCTTTGGAGGCTTTTCAGCAGAGGCTGGATGGTCATCTGTCGGGGGTGCTTTGAATGCGATGGTCCTGCTTCTTGGCAGAAGGGGGTTGGGCTGGATGATGGCGCACCAGGTCTCCTCCATCTCCAGGATTCTGTGACTCTCCCCTTTTGCCGCTCTCCTGGACCACCAGTGGGAGTTTGTCCCCATCCCTCCCTCCCTCTTTGCTGGGAAGGAGAGACCCAGACCCCCCAGTCTCTCTCTCCTGGAATGAGCCCAGGCCTCCTCCTTCTCCCTGACCCACGCCCTCCGCCTGTCCCTCTCCACGGGGTCACGCCCCTTCCTCAGCCCGTCTTCTGGCTTGCCTCAGAGTGGCCGGTCCTTCCCATCGCTGGGCAGAGAGGGGTGGGCTGCCCTCACCCGTGCCCCTCTCCTCGTTCCTCACCCAGCATCCCCAGCAAGTCACGCCCTGCTCGCGTTAGGATCCCGACCTTTTCCACCTCACCTCTTTCAGTCCCAAGAGTCCTGGGCTCTTTGCAAGACCACCACATAGGGTGAAGTGTCCCAACATTCTCCTCTCGCGTTTCCAACGTTTACTAAAACTTCCCCCAGACATCGGAGAAAGCCTCTCTGGCATCAAGGAGAGAGAAGAGACGTGGTCAGAAGATTAGGAGGGATTCCTTGGTTTGGGAATATCTTGATTTCAGTCAGGTCTTCATGGAACCACGGTGGCACAGGGGGTTGAACCCTTAAGCCGGCTGGACTGCTGACCTGAAGGTTGCCAGTTTGAATCCACAAGATAGGATGAGCTCCCGTCTGCCAGCCTCAGCTTGTGGGGACATGAGAGAAACCAGCCTCGGCCATGGAACACCTTCCCATCCAATGACTACTCGACCCAATCCACAAGCCAATCCCCAAGCCTGGCCCTTCCTCCCTCCCTGCCTGTTGGGTTGGGCTTCTGTTCTGCTTCCAATTCAGTCTCACCCTCTCTGTATCAGAAATATTAAACATTAACTAGGTAGACTTAATGACAAAAATGCAAGTTAAGCTCTGAAAAGGTTAAGTGGATACACTTCAATATAAGCAGGTGTGCCTGTAGCTCAGCAGGCCTCAGTGTGAGAAGGCCTCAGTGAGAGAAGGCCTCAGTAAGAGAAGCCCCATTTGAAGGCCTCAGGTGTAAAGCTACTGTGTTGAAGCTCATGAGAGGAAAATTCTTGATGTCAATAAGGCCTTTGTGGAGCCACAGTGGCGCAATGGGTCAAGCCTTTCTGCTGGCTGGACTGATGACCAGAAAGATGGGTTGCTGGCCTGAAGGTTGCCGGTTCAAACCTACAAGATGGGGTGAGCTCCTGTCTATTAGCTCTAGCTTGCGGGGACATGAGAGAAGCCTCCCTGCAAGTCACTTCTGGTGTGAGAGAAATTGCCGTCTACAGAGACGTTGCCCAGGTGAAACACATCTGGGCATCCACTGGCAACATCTCTGTAGACGGTGAATCCTCTCACGCCAGAAGGGATTTCCCGTATGTTGCTTCTGACATGATACAAAAACAGGAAGGCCTTTGCCAAGGTCCCCAAGATCTTCTTCTGATGAACACGCGAGTCAAAGGTGGGCTAGAGAATACTACTGTGAGGTGGGTTTGTGATCAGGGAAGTGACCAGCCCCGAAGGGTGGAGAGCGAGGACTCCAGAAGGAGGGCCAGAATAATCCACAGTGACCGCAACAGAGGAGAACGCTGGGTCAACACTCACAGAATGAACTCCAACCAGGAGAAGACTCCACTCGGGCAGAAAGAAGGGAAATCCAC